GGAACTGGCGGCCAGTCGGCGGGCGTTTAGTATGGGATCGCATGAGACCAAGAAGTTGTCCGAAGAGGAGATAATCGCTAATATAGTGCTGTTTCTGTTGGCCGGGTATGAGACGACGGCATCCCTGCTGTCCTTTTCGGCGTATAATTTAGCGCTGAATCCGGAATCGCAGCGAAAACTTCGCGATGAGCTCCGGGAGTGTCCGCAACTGGACTACGAGTCCGTCGCGAAGCTACCGTTCCTCGAGGCAGTGGTATGCGAGACGTTACGCATTCACAATCCGGTTACGAGAGTGGATAGGGAGGCCTTCGAAGACTATGTGTTGGGGGATACGGGTATAACACTGACAAAGGGGTCAGTAGTTGCTATACCTGTGCACGCCTTACACCACGACCCCCACTATTACCCCGATCCTCACCGTTTCATACCGGAGCGCTTTTTAGGGGATAACCTGAATAAGGTTAAGCCCTATACTTACCTCCCATTCGGCGGGGGCCCGAGGTTTGGGACTACCTTTCCATTGACATACTATATGTTAATAGTGTTTTTGACTATTAATTAGGAACTGTATTGGTATGCGGTTTGCGTTGCTTGAAGCTAAGCTGGCACTGGCCCGGGTGCTAATGGACTATGAGTTCAGCCCCTGTGCCAAAACTGAGGTACCGCTGCGTTTCGTGAATACCCGGCCCGGACTCCTACAGGCCGTCAGTATTTGGGTGAATGTCGAGCGAAGGAATTGAATTCAGTTTTTGGGTGTAATTTTGTTTTTGAAATATTGTGCAATAAATGACATTTAATTGTTGTTAACATAGATTTATTTTTGATTCGTTTGTTAATAGTTACTTGTTTAAATTTGTTTAAGTTAGTTTTGTAGATACTATATAAGAAAAATATGCTTGTGGTTTGCATTAAAATAAATAATAATAATTATAAAATTATAATTAATTTTTAAAATTAACAATTTTATAAACTTAAAATAATACTGAAATTTAGAAATTTATAATTTTCAAAACTAATAATTAATAATCTATTGAAGAAACCATTTTGTATTAAATCTTTGATGTTTATTACCCAACAGCTATATATCCCAAACCGATCCCGCACATATTTTTACCTTTAGCCAGTCGTATGTAACCCTTTTCACCCCAACTCTCACCGTAACTGTAAATTAAGTTGAAATTAAAATAAGCAAGGTTACATTAGAAATCATACCTATTTCTAGCCAACCAATACTCTGTCCCATTGTCGACACCCTCTTCCACCAGAAGTAGGCTGTGATCAAAAGGGCCGGTAGTATTGCACTCAGCGCTGTCTAGTATACCGCCGGCGTATGTCTGGAATGAAGGGGAACTGGACTTTGTGTACACAACCAGTGGTCCACTTGACACCGACAGATCTTTTTCAACATCAATGGGTTTGTTTGGGTCCATCCACTCGGCCTCTACCATATGAAAGCCTGTTCCGAAAATTTTTGATGTATTGCACGTATGGGTGCACTGGCCGGTGAACGGGTGATCCCTTTCCACATCAATGATGAGGTTCATGTCATTTATAGTCTCGAAGGCATCGTATGCGCTGACAGTAGTGTTACATATACACCATTCGGGGTCTAGTAGTTAGGCATTAACAATATTACGATAAGTACATCAAAATATGTGTAATTTTATGCCTATGACCATGGTCAACTCACTGCAATCAAACACCTCTTGTGCGCTCATAGGCTCCAATGGTTTCCCGGTATGTAATGAACGAATGGCGCTAATCATGTCCAACACGTTCACTGTTCCCGCACTCAAACATTGGCTCTAATTAATGTGGATTAAAATGGATTAATGTGATAGGTCACTTTATGAGACAAATCAGATAATAAAATCTTTTAAAAATCAAACTCACCTGCTTGTGCACTGGTAATATTACTTTCAAGGATTTTGTAAGTTTTGCCTTGTTGCTTATCACTTGTTTTTAGTTCAATCAGTTACTAATTATTGCAACATAATTTGGACAGGGTAATTTTGAGACCGTACCCTTTTTGTTAACATTAGATAATATAGTACTTTGATAAGAATTCATTATCTATAGTTTTTCAAGTGAACTTGATAATTACACCGTACCTTAGAAAAGATAACACTTAGAAAAGGTACAAATTGTGTCACAAATGTCTTATATAAAAGAATTAATAAGAATAAATAATTAACTTTAATACTGTATATATTGGTGTAATATATTAACTAAGCATAATACTTTTCATAATATTAATGATCATGGCTCTAATTAAACTAATAATGCTTTTTAGTCTGATTGTGTCTGGTTGCATTTGCGAGACTAAGTTAGATTGGAGAGACAAGAAAATAATACTACCAGTGCACAACCAGGTAAGTTTTAAAAAGAATTTTATTATCTGATTGTCTCATAAAGTGACCTATCCACATTAATCCACATTAATCCACATTAATTAGAGCCAATGTTTAAGTGCGGGAACAGTGAACGTGTTGGACATGATTAGCGCGTTTCGCTCAATACATACCGAAAAACCATTGGAGCCTATGACCGCACAGGAGTTGTTCGATTGCAGTGAGTTGACCATGATCATAGGCATAAAATTACATTTATTTTGCTACATTTATAATAATATAATTAATGCCTAATTACTAGACCCGATTGGTGTATATGTAACACTACTGTTAGCGCACACGATGTTGCAATATCCATATTTTCTAATTTTCTGAACGCAATGGATGTGGAAAGGGATCACCCGTTCACCGGCCACCCATACGTGTGATAAAATAAAAATTTATGAAACAGGCTTTCATTGGGACCATATTATGGTGACTCCATTAAACACAACCTATAATAATGAAGCCCTGTCCGACTTTTTGGCTGAGGGACCAGTAGTTGTGTTCACTAAGTCCAGTTCCCCTGCATTCCAGTCATACGCCGGCGGTATACTAGACAGCAGTGAGTGCAATACTGCTGGCCTTCCGGATCACAGCCTACTTCTGGTGGGAGAGGGTGTCGAAAATGGGGTCGAATATTGGTTGGCTAGAAATAGGTGTGCTGTTAAATGTAATCTTGGTTACTTTAAATTTTGTTTAATTTACAGTTACGGTGAAGATTGGGGTGAAAATGGTTACATACGACTGACTAAGGGTACAAATGTGTGCGGGATCGGTTATGGATATGTACTTGTTCAGTGGGTGACAAATAATAAACATCAATGATTTAATACAAAATGATTTATTTTAAATTATTATTTATATAATAGATTATTATTAGTAATCATTTAATGGCCAAATTAAATACTTAAAAATTACTGTATTAAGTTTATAATATTGGTCAATTTTAAAATTAACTCGAATTTATAAAAAAAAATTAAAAATAAAATAAAACAAATTTGAAATAAATGTTTTTACAGTATTTAAAATTAAATAAAAGGTATTTTTATTTAACAAAACCTTTAATCATATGTGAATATTAATAATCTAAAATTTTAAAATAGCCTATATATTGTACAGTGCTGCGCGCCAGAGACAGTTAATCTTTATAGACCCTGCGCTTTCAACCGCAGCTGATCATCCATGTGAGGGTCTGTCAATTGTGCGATCAATTATTTTCATGAAGCCTAGTGTTTTCAACGGAAAAACGCACTGTTAGGGAACGCCAGGCTCGAACCCATGTCGATGAATGCACTTGCCTAAGCCCTTAGTGCATTGCACCACTGAGACACACATTAATAATAAATAAGCAAGCAATAAATAAAGTACAATGGGAGTACACAGCAAATGATTATTTATTTAACTTAGGAATTAATTTTGGTATTCGGTCATTTGATCTACGAGTCATTTGACCTACAAATTCAAACACGTTATTTATAGATGCAAACATTTTTAGGTTAGGTTAGGTTAAGTAAGGAATTCAAAAATAATGTTTAAAAATAAATTCGTCCATAAATAACGTAGATATTTAGACGTACTTTATGATTTTTTTTGAAAATGTTTAGTTTTTGTTCCTGAGTTGCATGAGGGTAAAAGTGCAATTTTGAATATTTCTAGGTCAAATGACTCGTAGGTCAAATGACCCAAGACCATTAATTTTACCTATAAAACATACCACACATGTGTAAAGTATAAATAATGGAAAACAATTTAGTAATTACAATATTACAAAGTGGGAAATAGAAAACTAAAATATATTTAAATTATGCAAACACAATCTTAAAAAAATTTTAATATTAAAAAATAATTCATCGAGGCAATCATAATGTACTGATAAAACTCGTAGTTATTCATCGGAAACAAATCATAACAATAGACACAAATGGGAGGTCCGGACAGATGTTCAATAAACTCGTGAATTTTCAACCGACAATAAACGGGCATTCGATTGCCCTTGCTCAAATAACTATAGAATAAGGGCAGTGACTTTCGGGCAGATTTAGCTAATATAGCGCTCATCATATTCATCATAACTGTGACCGAAAAGAATATATTAGCAACAAACGCAAAAACTACCCTGGCCACTGGTGTTGAATCTTTATGGTGCAGCCCATACAGTGATAGTTGAAAACCCGGGGTCGTTATGTAATAGATGATAAAGGTTATATATCTGAAAAAGTCGCGATTTGCATCGTGCAAGATGTTCCCGTAACAGTTGAACTCGCTCATTATGTTGATTATAGGATTATGATTTGTACCCCGGTGATTTTGTAGATATATCAGCGCGTTTCGAAATTTGTCGTAAATCTCGTTGAACTTGATCACCATATAAATGCACCCGGCGAAATATATACAAAAACCAACCCATAGTATGCCAAAATTTTGCACAATAAACAATTCTTGCGTAATTACGCCTAGTACCAGGCTAATTAATGGCGTACTCGCGATGTCATCCAGGTATAGTTTGATTGTGGCGTACACCCAGGTCAAGGTAATAGCCAATATAGACAATATGATTAACGCGTGCAACACGTACTTTACAAAAAATCTGGTTCTCGCGCTCACCCGGATCGTGTTGTACATATTAACCGGGTAGTTAATTGTATTTGTCTTAACCTGGTGTACAAATAGTAATACAATCCATGGGTGTGGCCGTAGTTCGTGGTATTGGACGACACATCCGCTACATAATACACCGAATGTTAATATAGTGAGTATGGAGTCCGTTAGTACTGGCTTGCTCATTCCAACAGTCATATCGTACATTATATTCCGGATCCATTGCTACAAATCAGTGGTTAAAATGGAGTATTATAAATTAATTAGCCCATTTTAATAGCTGAATATTATAAATATAAATACCTGATTAATTACGGCACAAAGTCCAAATCTAATACAAGTGAGCAAGCACGAAAGTCGGGCAAATATAATTAATCCGATTCTCCATTTTTCAAATTGACCTTGTGTGTGAATTATTAAATATTTTATTCAAGCGTGGACATTTTAAACATTATACCTGTTAATGCTTTCTCACAGTCTCTGGCAATGAGACATAAATAATAAGATTGTATTTTCTCCGCACGATTGATAGAGTCTACTATATCATCCAATGCCTTATGATATGATCTAACTAATACACGCTTGTTGACTGCAATATGTGTTAATTTAGTTGTAATTTTACTACTAAGAATGACAGACTTTCGCTCCATGTCAAATGCATATTTAGTTAATCATATTAAACATATAAATCATATAGTCACTACATATGATATACTTTATAGGCATTATAGTATAGTGTTGACTAAATTATTAAGTAGATAAGAAATGACTAATTGGAATATACATAGACTTTAATATCATATATATTCAATAAATCAATATCTTAATGATCACGATCTTATCAAATAGTGAACTATTTTTCAAACATTATAATATTTTGCGGATTTTGTAGTTCGCATACATGACCTAGTTTAATGAAATCGGTATTTGAAAATTATTTTTATTATTTGTAAAGAATTTCTCACGCTCAATCAAAAACATTATGAAAGTACTGTTTATAACTATAGTATTAATCTATATTTCGATTATTTAATTGACATAATATTTTGAATATTTAATTCTTGCCAACAATATATAAAACTTAAACTTTTATCTGAAATTTGATGGACAAAGTGGTATTATATACCGTTTTTTTAACCTTAAAAATACGCTAGTGATTTGAATTAAAATATGTAGACAAATATATAATACATTATTTAGAATAATTTTATAATGCAAGTATGCCATTTTAAGTAATTACAATACTTTGCATGTTATTAAATAATTAATAATCAAAACATTTAATTTTAAAAAAAACTTAATAACATATAAACAGTTCAGCCCCTGTACCAAAACTGAGATACCGTTGCGTTTCGTGAATACCCGGCCCGGGACTCCTACAGGCGGTCAGTATTTGGGTGAATGTCGGGCGAAGGAATTGAATTCAGTTTTTTGAAGTAATTTTATTTTTTAAATATTGTGCAACAAATAAAATTTAATTTTTATTAAGCTAGATTTACTTTTCACTTTGTTTGCTACTTGTTCAATTTGTTTAAGTTGGTTTTATAATAAAAAATTTGCTTGCGGTTTGCATTTAAATAAGTTGTAAAATTAGATAATACATTGCATTTAAAATAAATATATAATACATGCCAAATAAATACGTTACACATTATTAAACATTAATAATCAAAACATTTAATTAAAAACCTTAATGATATACATTATTGACAGAAAATTAAGTATTGAAACTCAATCTAATTTATTAATTCATTGTGATAACAAAATAACTTAAATAACTAGTTAATACATTCATTTAATTGACATAATTAATAAAATCAATAGTAACTATGCTTTTAGCAGTTAGATAATTGTCTATTAGCTTGAAATATTTATGAATAATTAAACAAATTACACGAATAACACAAACAAGTTGATTAAGTTTGTGCGAGTTCATTATTGTTGATCAAAATGTCCAGTAATACCAGTATTTTAATGAATACAATGCAAACTAATGACACCAATAGGGATCCAATTTACGAAGAAATTAACACATCTATAGAAACCGGAAACAATGAAAGTGATGCCAAATTATTTAATATTAGTAGCATGGTCATTTTGTTGGCTAGAATTGGATTTCCGATCAATAACGATAAGCCATATACACATAAGAAGTGGATATTAATTTGCTTGAAACTTGCCTGCTATATGTCCATACATTTAGCACTGATTGTCAACATAATCCTTATCTGTGGTACAATTGGACAGCATATTAAACTTGATTTTCCGTATTTACTGACATACATAATGGCCTTAACCTGGAACATAACTAGTGTTATAATGATTAACGCATACTATTTGTACGCCTATCGACTCAACACTATTTTGGATCCTATGATCAAATTAGACACACGGGTTGATACGAATGTAGACATAAATAGTATAAGTATAAGCTTACTATGTGCACTAGGAGTATTTAAGTTTACATCCATTATACCTATATTATGCCGCATACTATGGCTTATATGCATCTATTTCATTTTTAACATTGCTCATAATAACTACCAGATAATCACATTGATTACCCTGACACCACTAAACATAATATACGTGTCGATCAACTTTTAGTTATTCTGGTTCTTGTTTTCTGTATTGAGAAAGGAATTCAAGAATATTCAAGATTTTGCACAGAATTACATGGATGACAGTGACTTATCTCCAACGGAAACTATAATTAAAAGGTAAATTAAAACCATCTTGATTATTGAAAAAAATAATTTTTATTTTATGTATTTGCAGGTTTAAACTAAATATTGTGAACACCAAAAATGTTGTGGTTATATTCCGGAATTATCAGATTATTTATATTATTGTATTACGAGTAGTTATAATATTCACATTATTAATTAGCCATGCTAATATTATATGGGGAGGCATGAGTGATAGCATGATAATGTGGAATGGGATCATGATTATGATTACATCATATGGTGTATCTCTGATATTTCTGTCCATAAAGGAAATCCGGAATTTGGCACAAATATATCGCCAAACTGTAGTCCTTATTCATACGTACGGTTCACTTACACCAGACTCCCAGTCCCTTGAATTTAAGATATTGTTTTTGCAGTTTACCAATATAGTGATTGCATCGAAAATAAAATTTAGTTATGAAAGGTATTTCATATGCCCGGATATATTTTAATGATTTTTATTTTATATCTAATAATTATTTTTGTTAATTAATT